GGGCTCCTTATTATCATTATAGTATGTATAATAATATACCCCGATACCCGTAGCGCTCCGAAACACCGTGGCCTAGCTGCCGACATCCCAAGGATCTGCATCGACGCTTCAACTGCAGAGTCTACGTCTCCGGCGCCGATGTGGCGAAATGCGGTGTGCCAGAGGGTGAGGCCAATTTGCCAGGGATCCCGCCGTTTGGGTTTCTAGGGAGGGTTCGGGGTTTGGGTTTGTGGATTTTCGGGATTCGAACTTCGAAGCCCCCTTGGCGGGCACCTCCTTGCTGGTGCGAGGTTATGCAGGACTTGCTCCTCGCTGCGGGGCTGAGCCCCGATGTGCTGGATGTGGATGCGGCAAGGCTGCAAGAGTTCTCCTTCTGGGCTAGCACGGAGGGGTGTAATTCGGAGGAACGTGGGTGTTGCCGAAGTTACAAATCTCAGCTATGGTGTGCGAGGTTCAGGCCATGAACACCATCGAGAACGCCATCTACGCAGTGCCGCTGCTGCGAGACCGAAGCATCAAAACCGCATCGGGCTTGAAGAAGTCTTTTTTTGTAAAACCTTTTTGAGAATCCTTCAAACGATACTTGTAGGGACAACAGAGTATAAGATCCTGAAGCCCTCACGCACTTCAAACTCTACAGATCCCTTTTTTTTGAGACAACCCAGATGCTTCCTAGGCGATTTTAGTCACCAGCGACTTTCACAGCGCAAGGGCGGCCTTTCTATTCCAAAGCGCACCTTGGCCCTTGTTTCCGCCTTTGGATCCGAGGGCGCAAAGCCCCAAAAAAACTGGCATGAATGGAAGGATCTCACAGCTAAGATTCTCCGGAAATAGAGGACCTTTGTGCTTAGTTATGTGGTCGTCTGACCCCATTTTTTGTGCGAAGGAGTTCTTCGGCAAATCTGGGGAAACGCAAACCATGTGCTGCCATCCTGGCGTTGAAAGCATGCCTCTGAGCATCCATACCAGCATACATACCGACACGCGCCTGCACATGTACAGAGAAACAGATCAAGTAGGCGCATACCTCTTGGATTTTTGGTTTGTCAAATTCCCAGGCATGCAATTTGATCTACTCTTTGTTGCCATGCAGGAGTGGTCCACTAAAATAACTTTCATTTTCGGATCTTCCTCAAGAACTGACGGCGCACGACATCTCCGGTCCATCCAGACTGAAGCACTCCATCCCTTCCGACTCTAACCCTAAGACCCTAAACTCTAAACCTTGAGCCGAAAAACCTTGAGAGGGTTTAGGGTTCCCTAAACTCTAAAGTCTTGAGCCGCACATGCCAGTGGCGCCGAGGTGTTCAGAGCGCATGGACTCAACGTTTCCTTGCTGACGGATCCTGCTCCCAGTGGCCTTGAGTCTGGACCGCCAAGGCCCTTTTTTCGGGATTTCCCGACAATTTCGAAGACTCATAGAATCCCTGGCACAACAGATTCAGCAAAAACATCGGATCCTTCAAGGACCCCTAAGAAAGATATCAGATGTCCCGAAGAGTCTAAGAAGGCCTAGCCATTTTCGCCCGAGAGCAGCTTGGGAGGATGTGCCAAAAACTGATAAGGAAGCCCCAAAGCTGCAAGAAACGAAGCCTGGAGTAGGGGGTTTTTAGGTTTTTTGGGGTTTTGGGTTTGGGGTTTTTTGCTATGGCCGTGCGCGCTTTGGCGCCAGCCCAAAAAAGGGTTCCCGCATGAGCTTAGAGATTCTGTTATACTTAAAGTGGGGTCCAGGGGCGGTGTGGTCTTGGGCAAATTCCCTAGGGAAGTGGCGTTTGAACATGACCTCCATCCAATATGGGAACTGCATACCACGCCTTCTACCTTGGCTCAGGGTTTAGGGTTTTGGGTTTAGGTACTGTAGTCCCTGAGAAAAAAGATCCCAGGGAGCCCTCGTGACCTGGCGGTTACGAGCTGGAAGCTTCACAGAAACAGGAATTGAAGATGCAGTGAGACTCAGGCTCCGCTACCCTGGGCTCTGACCAACCGCAATCAACGTTGGAAGATCCCCAAAGACACCTCGCTTATGGGCATCGATCCTCAGCCATGCGAGAGAGAAAAAAAAAAGCCCTCAGATTTTGGGCAGAAGGAGAAGAACACCCGAAAAACCCTAAACCCCTAAACCCTAGAATTATGACGTCCGGATTATGCTAACAG